GCTTGTGGTTAGCCATAAAAATAAAATACTCTGAGGTTTTCCTACATTTTTATGAACAATCTATCGTATTCGTGTTCTGTCTAGCGTTTTCTAATCAGAATAAAAAATTTTCGCCGCAAATTTGTTATAAACAAAGATGAGGTGACGGGAATACGACATTTCCTTTCCTTTCAATCCGAGAATTCATCATCATAACAATCCAATTTCTAGCAACAAAGAAACCGCAAAACATGTTTTGAAAAATTACTCCATAACAAAATGTTAATTTATATTGAATGGCATGAAACATACTGTATTAATAATAAAAAAAATTAATTTAGTAACTTCATAATTAAATCAGTGAAAATATAAATAATAGTAATAATTTAATGTATTATATATTCCATTTAAAATCGATTAAAGATTTTTTTTCGTGAGAAATTGAATTGAAAAATGAATTGAAAGGAATTTTTTAAATAATTTAATAACACAATTTGAATTTATATTGAATGGCATGAAATATACTATATTAATAATTAAAAAAAATTAATTTGGTCACTTCATAATTAAATCAGTGAAAATATAAATAATAGTAATAATGTAATGTATTATATATTCCATTTAAAATCGATTAAATATTTTTTTTCGTGAGAAATTGAATTGAAAAATGAATTGAAAGGAATTTTTTAAATAATTTCACTGAAATTTTATATTGTTTATTAGATTCAATTGAAAGATCAGCTTCGAGAGAATAATTTTCATTTTACTTTATAGGAAAATATATGAAATATATTATATTGCATTATATTGATAAACAAAGAAATTAATTTAATCACTTAAAAATCAAATCAATAAAAATATAAATAATCGTTTTCATTTCAAATTTGTTCCCTAAATTTTTTTCACAAAAAAATAGAATTGAAAAATGAATTCTAGTGAATTGTTTTTATATTTTAACTGAAATATTATACATTTGCTGGCAGAAGATATTTAAAATTAATTGTTTATTAGATTCAATTGAGATCGATTTTGAGAGAGTAATTTTCATTTTTATAAAAACGATTTTATATTTTTTCAGCTGTTTTGTTTTGCATCGTCACTCAATGCTCCTTGATAATGGACCAGAAGCTCTAGACACTGATGAATTGACAGCGAAATTAATTACGTGGAGAGATTCCCTCGAGAATCAGAAAAATCAGGTGAAGTTCATTGAATTTATTAATATGATGTCAAAAAAATTTTAATGATAACTTAAATTATCTCTCAATTCCAATTTTTCTCTTGAGTATTTTCACCTGATAATCAATTGGAATTTTCTGTACCAAAAATTTTCCATCCACTTCTCTAAATATATCTGATAATCACTATATCCCATTATATCTGATCATATTTTTATATTTTCATTATTAATTTTCCATAATTTAGATGAAGAGAAACATTTCCCTGGACGAATGATAACTAGATAATTTTATAAATTTATTTATTTGATTAATTTTCCGTTAACATTAAGGGAAATATTAATTGTCATTTAGAGCTGATCCGGGCAAAATGGGACACGTGTGAAAAATAATTTTTAATTAATTCCCAGTCCCAGTGTTTTCTGCAAATTTAATTAAATTTTTTAATTATACTGTTGTTATCTTTTTTTTAATTTTTCATTCTCAAAAAATTCTTCAAAAATAAAAAAAACTCAAAAAATAAAACTCGAAATAAAAATCTCAGGAAAACATCCTCGAAAAATACTGGGTCTAATTTTTTTATCAGTTAAGTGTAATAAAATTCTGTAAAAACTATAATATTGAATTATTCATTGTTACAATCAATTTTTTCAAGTATATTTTTTTCATTGAATCTTCTCATTCACCCCTTTTACCTCATCTCATTTTATCATGTGTCCCATTTATCTCGGCTCTCCCCAAAAATATAAAAATAATAATAACAAAAAAATATGCATCTAAACAAAATCCAAAACTTCAAAAACCCAAAATCTAAATTAAGGCTCGGGTGGATTATCTAGAAAAGATAATTTACTCCGAAATTCGGATTCCTAATTATTTTGGCAATCAATAATTTTTTTCAATAATTGTTAGCTAGCATTCTAGCGGTTGTCAACAACTAGGCCGCTAACTAACAATTATCGGAAAAAACGATTAATTGACGGAGTAATTAGAAGTCCCAATTTTAAAGTAAATTATCTTTTCCAGCCAGTCCTTAAGGTGGTTGTCGCGCGACAGTCTCTGTAAAAAGTTTATCCGCTGTGAAAC